GAAAGAAGTCAGTGGAGGCTTGACCTATGTGGGGACTGCAAATGGGTTTTGAGCTTTCACTGTCATGCACGGCCCTCTACAAGCCAGGGTGCTCAGAATTTCAACTCTAACACAAGCTCAGGTTAGGTTTGCAGCTTTATGCCCTGGGCAGCACTGACATTATTTATCCAATGAATGAATAAATTAAGGAAAGAAGGACTGGCACGGGGTTTTCAATGCTTGCTTATAATCCTGGATGTAATAAAATAACTTAGTGAAGTTGCTTGATTTTTCTTGGATCTGTTTCCTTATGTGTAAAATGTAGACATTACCCTGCAAATGAAGCTTGGTGTTTTTAACCTATCCATGGGGACCTTGAAAAAGAGCCCCGTGATCTGTTTTTGAAATGTGATGGACTTAAAAACCCTATAGTACACAGTTATACTTTTTTTTTAAATAAATTATTTTATTGGGGGCTCTTATAGCTCTTCTAACCATCCATACATCAATTATACATATGTTGCCAACATCATTTCCAAAACATTTTCTTTCTACTTGAGCCCTTGGTATCAGCTCCTTTTTTCCCCTCTCTTCCTGACCCTCCCACCCTCATGAACACTTGATAATTTATAAATTATATTTATTTTCATATTTCAAACCATCCAATGTCTCCCTTTACCCACATTTCTGTTCCTCCCCCTGGTGTGTATGGGGGGAGGGGGGTTGTACATCAATTAGTGAATCAGATCTCCCTTCCTCCCCCTTCTCCCCTCACCTTTTCCCTACCCTCATAGTATTGCTACTCTCATTATTAATCCTGAAGGTTATACTTTGAAACACATAAGGGCACTATGACCCGGAAGCAACAACAACCCTGCAAATAATTCCTCAGGCACCTTCCAGATCAACTGTGTTAGACAGGGTTCTCTAAAGAGACAAAACCAGATTGCTAGTAATTATATATATATAAAGATAGATAAATATATAACACAAGAAATGAACTAATAAATTATATACAGATAGATATATAATACAAGAAATGAACCGTTAAATTATAAAGCAGTACAAATGGCTCAGTGCAACTCACTCCTGTGAGAGAGTTGTGAGACACTGGCAGTCCTTCAAGTCTTGAGGGCCACCAGGTTGTCCTCTGTAGAGAGAGCTAGCTAGGCTATCCCAGCACAGCGCAGCAAACAGCAAGGCAGGTCACCAACTGTCAGCCAGGTCACCAACCGTCAGTCCTCGGCTCCAGAGATGTACATTCCAATCGTGTGGTGTTAAAGGGACCTCAACTTACAGCGACACACTCCACAGGTTAGGCGTCCCACGGGTAGTGTAGCCTGTAAATTGAGGCACAGAACAAGCAAGGCAGCCGCACACTGGTCCAATGATCAAAGAGCAAGAGACAAGAAAGGCGAGGCTCATCGAGCCATTTATCTCTCCGCCCTTCAATTAATCCCACTTGTGTTTATTGGCCAGGCTGGCACAATAAGCTAACTATCTCATCAACATTCATTCAGCATATTCAAATTCTCATGTTTTTAATTAACCAAATCCAAAACTGTGCTGTGTGTGTTTCCTGAATGTCTGGCAGACAAGGACTTCTCCAGCATTTCCAGGGACTACTCAGAGGAAGAAAACGAAGGAGAAGTTGACCAAAGCCTGAAAGATTTACCTGAAGATCTCCTGATCTGTGCAGGGATCATCAGTTTTAGTTTGCCATAATGGTGTTCACCCAAATTTACATCATGAGCCCCATGTGTGTGGTGCCCCTACTCTGGGGTATTGTGCAGTGTGACAACTCCATGCAGTTTCTATAGCCATGACCTTCTGAAAGCAGAGCACCAGGTCTTTCTGCTGAGGCATCTCTGGGTGAGTTCAAACAGCCTTCAGTGAATAGTCCAATACTATGTGTGCCAGCCAGCAACTCCTGTACGCACATTAAATAAGTTAAGCATGAGATCATACAAGTACATTAACAAAAGTTCCCTTTAGAATAACTGTAAAACGTTTGGGATCTATAAACAGAAGGTTCAGGTTTGTTACCAGAAATGAACACCTTTTAGGGTCACCTTTAACAAGTAAATTTTTAAGTAAAATAAACACCTAAATAATTTTTCATTAAAAAAAAATAAATACCACCATACACAACCGTGTCACAAACAAACAAAAACCTTTACAATGATATTCATTAATTCTGTCTTACATTTTCCAGCTACCCTTTGGGATCCCAGGAAAACAAGTGGTAGGGTGCTTGGTGATGGGGTTGGGCTCCTGAGCTAGGCCTTCTGCATGACAAAAACCTCATGTACAGGGTAGCTGACATTAACTCTGTGTATTCAAGTTACTGGGAAGCTTCCTGGAGAAGCAATGACAGGTGAAGCAATTGAATGCACAGCACTGGTTAACATATATTTGGGTGCCTCAAATGTTAGACTTGTTTCTGGGTCTATTCGAGCTGCTGATTCTCAAAACATTACCAGGCCCCTCCCCGTCCCCCAGGAGCTCTAGTTTTTGATAGGACGTACACCATATACTAGTCTTTGCTCTGCTCACCCATAAAAAAATCAGAATATGTAACATTAGCTAGCCTGAGATAGAGGAAATTAATAAATACTGGCTTTAGTGAAAGTAGTTAATGTTGTACTAGATATTTAGATCAAAGTATATTTCACATGACTTCCTTTGATCCAAAGACATATCTAAACCATATTACATGACCTTGGAATACATATTACATGACCTTGGAACATACCCGACGTGTCACTTGTAGTAGGAACTGAATAGCAGGCAGTTCTCATTTGTTTCCCCAAAAAGGGACCAGAAATAGGCGTTAATTATCATAAATAAGGAGCCTGAGTGGCATAGTGGGTTATGTTTGGCTGCTAATCACAAGGTCAGCTATTCAGCAATTTCCGCTCTGTAAGAGAAAGTGGAGGCTTCCTGTTCCCATAAAGATTGACAGCCTCAGAGACTTACAGGAGGCGATCCATTCTGTCCTACAGGGTCACTGTGACTCATCAACTGGCGGGTAGTGAGTCTAGTGGAATCGAGAGAGACAAATGTTCTAAAACACAAAACAGCTCTGGTAGAGTTCAAAGTCTTTATTAAAACTAAAATGTTCCAGTCGTGCTATAAGATAACACAACTTCTCTACCTGTGCACAGAAAACAAAAGTTAGAATTTTTCTTATAAAGATTGGGAGTCGACCTCACCTCTAAAACATTTAACATGAATTATGTATTGACTTCTGCATATTAAAATGTGTTCCAGGGGATGATCAGCAGAAACGTGGGGAAGAGGAGACCCCAGTCGGTGTAAGATATAAAAATAATAATAACTTATAACTTATCAAGTGGTCAACAGGGTGGGGTGGGGCAGGGAGGGAAAAAAGAGGAGCTGATACCAAGGGCTCAAATAAAAAGTAAATATTTAGAAGATGATGATGATGGCGACATATGTACAAATATGTCTGATACAATTGACGTACGGATTGTTATGAGAGCCCCCAAGACAATGATAATTTAAATAAATAAATAAATGTGCTCCAAAATGTTGCTGCATAATTGGAGAAAAATTTCGACCATCAAAATATTTATGAAAATTACTATGAATACTCACATTTTCAACTCTCTACTCTTACACTTTCTACATATGTGCCTTTTCGATTTTTCTTTTATTCACTCTTCTCAAGCTATGGTCCGGCTTTGTAGGATCTGACTCGTAGTCTCTGTGTAGATAGCATAGCTTCCCTGCCAAAAAGAAACACCTATTGCCATTGCGTTGATTCTAACACATACGGGTACATTGACCGGAGCTGCCAAGGTCCAGGCCGGATTCAGAAGAGGACGTAGAACAAGAGATATCGTTGCTGATGTCAGTTGGATCTTGGTTCAAAGCAGAGACTACCAGACAGATGTTTACTTGTGTTTTATCGATTTGGAAAGGCAATAAGACTGTGTGGATTATAATAAACTAAGGATAACATTGAGAAAAATGGTAATTCCAGAACATTTCACTGTGCTCATGTGGAATTTGTACATGGATCAAGAGGCAGTTGTGTGAACAGAACAAAGGAATGCTGCATGGTTTAAAATCAAGAAAAAGGTGTGCTTCAGGGTTGCATCCTTTGACAATACTTATTCAACCCATATGCTGAGCACAGAAGTTGGGTTCTATGAAGAATCTGGCATCAGGATTGAAGGAAGGTTTACTGAGAGTCTGAGAACGCAGACGACACAACCTTGCTCGCTGAAGGAGAGGAGGACTTGATGCCTCATGGAGATCAAGGATTGCAGCCTTCAGTATGGATCAAGACTCGAATGTCAAGATGAACCAAATCCTTACAACTTGACCAAAAGACAGCATCATGGTAAATGGAGAAAAGATAGAAGTTGTCAACTATGTTGTCTTGCTTGAATCCACAATGTTCATGGAAGCAGCAGTTAGGAGATTAAAAGACACGTTACATTGGGTAAATCTGATGCACAAGACTTCTTTAGAGTGCTGAAAAGCAAGGATGTTACTTTGAAGGCTAAGGTATTCCTGGGCCAAACAACAGTATTTTCCATGGTCTCATATGCATGTGAAAGCCGTCGTTGAATACAGATGACTGAAGAATATGGCTGCATTTGAATTGTGGTGCTGGAGAAGAATAGTCAAAGTACTAGGGACTGCGAAAAGGACAAACCAATCTATCTTGGAAGAAATGTGACCAGAGTGCTCCCTAGAGGCAAGGATGGCAGAACTTTGTCTTACACACTTTGGACATGTTTCCAAGAGAGACCAAGCCTGGAGAAGGACATCATGAGAGGTACGGGGAGAGGTGCAGCAAAGGAGAGGAGATTGGCACAGTGGCTGCAACAATGGGCTCAGGTGAGGATGCTGCAGGACCATGAAGTATTTCATTCTGCTGTCAGGTGTAGGTTCCAACTCGAGGGCACCTAACAACTCACAGTGACCCCATAGGGCAGAGAACTGCCCCTTTGGGTTTCCTACCCTTTACATCTGTTAAAGGCTGCAGAGTGATTGGTGGATTTCAACTACTGACCTTATGGTCGGCAGCTCAATGTGTAACCTACTAGCCACCATGGATCTTCATACACCTTCCCTCGGAAGTCCCTTAATAACTACTCCTTTTAAAATATTTGCCTTTTGTCTTATCCTACTATTTTCAGGGTCTGACTTCTTCTCATATTTAAATGTAGGATGATAAATTAATAATTTAGGGTAATTTAAAATCTGAAAATATTCTAAAACCCCATATCTATGAAAACTAGAGCTGATGAAATCTATCCAATTTTCTGAATCGCCACACCAAATACCCGAGGAATAGGCCTAAAAGCCAAGACACCAGCCTCCCCTCATGGCTGTGCTTCTCTCACTGCAGCCCACAGGGAGCCAGCCACCAAATTCATCCACCCAGGCACCAGGCCAGGAATGCTCCACCACCATGATAGGAGACCTAGAGGTAAGTCACTGAGCTGCCCTGGGCCTCCGAGTGTCCTAATTAGATTTGTGTTTTCAAAAAAATGACTCTGGGTAGAACATGGGGCTAAATTGGAAGGTGGCAGGGTTGATCCTGGAGGATGGGCATGATCCTGCTGAATGACGATGGCAGCCTTCAGGCTTATTGGGTCAATTCTGATTCATGGTGACTTCAGGCATGTCAGAGTGACCAGTGAGAAGGGAGGCAATCTAAAGCATGTGGTCTTCTGGAAGCTTGATGATGCATGCCCATCAAGAAAGCTCAGGGAACCAAGTTGTGTCCAGGCCGTCGGAGGCTGGAGGAGGGCTGATCACTGTGGGCAGCCACACGTCACTGGGATGTGGTAAGAGCTACCCAGGTAGAGTAGGTAGTGCCAACTCTTTTTTTCTCTAGAGTCTGATTAGAACGGATGTAAGAAAGAATTGCTAATTGCCAAAGTTCACTCTCCCTGCCTCAGTTTCCTCATCTGTAAACCAGGGGAAAAGACAGTAACCTCACCCATGGAATTGCTTCTAGCATTTTACATGAGTCAATACACAGAAAGACCTTATTTTTAAACCTGACAAATCGTGTTGGTTATCAAAGTCCCCTCTCCTGGTGCCGGTGACTGAGTCTCTTATACCAAGAGCCCGCAGCCCCGGCTCCTCTTCAGGCACATCTAGAGTGTTGTGTGTTCTTAGAAAAGCACGACTTTGCCTTGTTATCTGTACATTTACTGTGCCCTACCCTTGTGTGCAGGCTAGGATTGACTATGTCCTACCCCAGACTAATCTGGGACCCAGTTTCTACTAGGGGTAATTAAGCTCTGTGCCTCTCTGATCTGTTTTCATCTATGTAAAAGGGGAGATGGGACTGACTGTACAGTAAGGGCCCTTTGAGTTGGGATAGTCATGAAATAGCTCTTTATTTTTCCTAAAGAAGAAAAGCCTTTACTGTATTAAGACCTATTGTAGGCTCTGTGTGTGTGTGTGTGTGTGTGTGTGTGTGTGTGTGTGTGTGTGTGTGTGTGCAGGCCTGGGAGGGGGGGGGGGGGGCGCTGACAAGGGGAAGATGCGTTTTGCTGAAAACTCTCTTAAGAGCAGAGTGTACGGTTGGAACCCGTGCCTCTCCTTGGGTCCTCCACAGGCCAACCCCTCACCTGTGGCCCCCCAGATACACATCCAACATGGTGGACAGTGCTCACACCCCAGGCCCATGCAGGCAAGTTCCCTCCTCGCTCCATAGACCGTTAGCTTCACAGAGGCCCCCAGCATGAAGAGGAAGGCAAGGGGCTCTGCTCTTATAAGGTGCTGGCTTCCAAAGCCAAGGTGAGGTCTCCGCAGCTGCCACCTGAGGAGGAGGCTCTCCCGGACAACGCCTGCACATGCACCTGCCCAGAGGCAGCGCGACGAAGAGGTGGGAGACGCCATGCCAACGAGGGCGCCGGACCTCACTCTGCAGTTGAACATTGTCTTCCCGGCTTTGCAGCAAGTGTCTTTTCCTGAGTGCAGCAGAGACATGAGTCCAGCCTATAGGAGCGGTGCAGCCCTGTGAGGCCTTTGCTTTGGATGTTTAGTAAAGTCAGGTAAAGCAAAGCAAAACCGCCATTCTGGTGGTCAGCAGCATGGTGACTTTATATGTAGTGTGACGGCGGCTGCGTGGGCAAAAGCCCTGGCACACAAGTGATGATGCCCCCCTCCCTGCAAAACAGGCCCGTGTGAACTGCCAGTGAGAAGGGGATTACACGGCAAACCTGTACAAACCTCAGTTGTTTCTTGACCATCGAAGAAATCCAGACAAAATGTGCCTGGATCAGGTTTGGAAGGGCTGAGAGAGAGAGAGAGAGATGCTCTTGGCAAGGACCCAGAGGATGGAGCAGAAGATCCTTTAAGAGTCCATAGTTGGAGCCTGAGCCCGGAGGCCTGTGTCAGTCACAGGCTCAAGCTTTCCCTCCGAGCTCCACTCTTTGTTGGCGGAGAGCCTTGGGACAAATCACTAGGCTCTCTGAGCCATCTGGTAAGCCCCAGTGCTTGGTGTTGCTTGGGGCAGCAAGGGACAGTCAGTGGACACAGTTCCGCTTCTGTTCTAGCCTGGATTTGGAGCACAGCGGGCTGTGGTCCTCCTTTGACTCACTCTCCTCCCTCTGCTCTCAGGTACCTCTCTCTCAGGTAGCTCTCAGCACTGCCATGACAGCCCTTCAGCTTTCCCCGGCGATCACTATGGCTTCTCTGACCTTTTAGGGCTCACTGCCTGACCCCCTGCCCTGAGATTTACCCTGAGAATTGCCTCAAACAACTGGACATTCATCTTCCGGGGAATTTTGCAGAGCTTGCCAGTAAGTCAGCATTTCTAGAGGCTTAATAAAATGGCATGCCACGATTTTCTTAAAGCGACAAGTGGAAAAGTGCAGCCCTTCAGGGAAAAACGTCTGCTCCGAGTGAAGCTCCTCCAGGTTGATGTTCAGCTTGGCCAGGCAGAGCCCCACGAACACGTCTTCTAGTTTAATGAAAGGGACGCTCTCAGAAACATCATACACCTGGCTGGCAACATCACTAGAGAACACATAGCCCGTGCCAGAGCAAAAAGGCGGGTACCTGTCCCAAGGGTACTCATATTTACTGACAAACCACTTACTGAACTGACCCCTAATTGGAAAGCCATTCATTATAAAAAAGCCAGTGAAAAACCTAGTTGTTCGGTTTTTCTTTAGAAGTAGTTGGGTCAGGTAGTAGACGTTCACAAACATGTCCGAGTCTGTCTTCATCACAAAGGCAGCCTGAGGGCAGAAGTGGTGGACCCACTCCATGCCCATCATGGTCTTCAGGGTCAAATTGGCATAGACGTCCACAAAGTCCTTCTGGATAATGTCTCCATGTCGCTGGCCTTCCTGAGACACTGCTGTCATGTCGCGCTGTGTGGCTGTGGCTCCCAGGAGGAAGAAGGTCTTTATCTGTCTTCCTTCCACGACGTTTGCTCTCCCCCACGTCTGCCTGATGGCCATGCGAGCGGGCGCCTGTCTGTGGGAGGAAGTCACCAGCAGGACAAGGAAGGGAGGGTTCTGCCTGCAGTCTATTTCCGGGAGCTGGAGGAAGACCCCACTCTCTTTCTTGAAAACAAATGGTTCTTCTTTAAAAAGAATCAAATTGTTCATGCTGAAATATAAGCACACGGCCCCGAGAACCAGAAGGAAAATATATAGATACCTTATCTTCAAGCAAGCCATCTGCAAGAAACCAAATGACATGATTAGAGCTCAAATGCATGAGGGTACACGCGGCTCTCCTTTCGGTGGCTAGGCTGGGAGAAGAGACTTAGGGTTTAGGAAGGATGCTTCTGAAACTCTGGATTCAGCGGCTCATACAAGTGGAGTTCTGTGGTCAAAAACGTGAGCAGAGAGGAGCGTTAGCATCTTCTCCCCACTGTACAAGATGAGGAGCACCCTGGTCCCGGCTCTGCCTCTCACCAGCCTTATCCTATAGGAGTCTCAAATGTCTTGTGCGTAATAGAAGACAAGGGCTGGATCCCTCGGTCATTACCCTCATTGGTCCAGCTGCCCTGGTCTTTGGTGACTTCATGATGGAGTCCAGGTAGAGAAGCCCCTTGTTCTAAATGTCTAGACCACTTACACTGCTTCTCCATTTCTAATTGATCACTTTGTGCGGCTCTCAGAAGGAAGTGGGAGGCATTTCTGATTTACACACCTACCTTGGAATTGTGTCTCTACTAGCAGATGTTATGAAGTGCCCTGAGTCAACCCCAGCTCACAGTGACCCCATGTGTTGCAGGAAAGAACTGCTCCACAGGGGGTTTCAGCTGTAATCATTATGGAAGTAGATCACCAATCCTCTTCATTCCCAGAGCCAATGAGAGGGTTTGAACCACCAACTTTTAGGTTAATGTCACTGGAACTCCTCTCTGTTAGAGGCAGTTGCTATTTATTCTTTCCGTTTACTGTTTAAATCTCCTGATTCTTCCATAACTGCCCATCCATCTCCTCTATTCTAAACAATTCAGGATCACCCACATTAATGCTATAGAGAAGCAAAGAACTCACTTTGTCAGGAAGATGCACCTTTAAAGGTAAGCCACAGGGTACATGCAAAGACAAGTTTTCTTCCAGAGAACTGTTAGTGCAGGACGTTTGGCATCATCCGGCTCTGGGCTTGTTTTGCTTCCTCAAACCATGCTTCTGTTTAGTCAGGTGCCACTAGAAGGAAAAACAGAAAGATCCGTGTCATTCAAGTCACACACTCCCCGCTGGGCACACACTTTGCTCTTGCTCGGTCTCGTCCTAGTGTTGCTTCACGACTTGTACACAGGACTCGGAGCCAGCCTGTGAGCCCCACACGCAGCCTCAGCTTATCATCTGCAAAATGTAGATGATCAAGGCAAACACAATACACCACAGGGCTCCCCTATTAACAACTATATGGACATGGAAGTATCTGGGAATTCTTTCAGGACTAGGAGGCCAGGACAGCACCTCCCAGCTTCGGCGTAGTAGTGACGAATTCTTTCATTAGCTTCAACCAACTTATTATCCCACAACCCACTTATTATCCACCAACAACTTACCTTCTCTACTTAACCATACGTAGCTGATGCCTAAGCAATTTAACAAGCTCGCAAACACCCACACAAGACACAGACAGTTATCATGGAGTGCTTACATTCTGACTCTGCAAACCCATGCATTTCTGAATAGAATGGGTCTATGAGGTTTTCAGTGGTTGCTATCTTTTAGAAGTCGACCACCATGTCTTGCTACCAAAGCACCACTGGATGGCTCAACCATTAAGTTGAGCACTTAACCATTCACACCGCCCAGGTACAGCAAGATAGTTTAACACACAGGAGGAATTCATCAATTCTGCACTCAGTGTTGGTGTCTGAAAATCATCATCCTGAGGGGGAGGCTGGGGGTGGAGGGACAGCAAACAAACCACCACCCTAAACTGGGAGAGAGAGATGAAGAGACAGAGAGGTGTCTTGATTAAAAAAGAGTAACTCAAAATTCTGTTCAGAGACTCGCCACGTGACCACGTGTCTTCGGTGGAGAAGAAGAACCGGCGAAGTTGTTATGGGTATATGGAGAGAGATTTATACCAAGAAAATGGCTCACTGGTGTAAGATGGGCAGTTCTAAGTCCAGGGGTGAGATGTCAGGCTGAAGGCTTCTGACTTGCATAGCTGCAGGGGCTGATGTGCCCAAGCTGGACAGGAAGACAGCAGGCTTCTTTGGTGTGGACAAACGACCCTTTGACAGGGGGCCAAATTCATAACACTAGGAAAATTAAAGTTCTGAACTACCAATGAAAATAATTTTATTATTGGGGGGTCACCCCTACATGAGGAACGGTGTCAAAGGGTTATGGCATTAGGCTGCAATCTTTACAGAAGCGAACAGCCATATTTGCTCTTGAGGAGTCACTGAGTGGTTTCAAACCACCAACGAACCAGTTTACAGTTGAGCACATAATTGTTGTTATTGTTAGGTGCCCTCTAACTGGTTTCAACTTATAGTGACTCTGTGTATCAGGGCCCAAAACACTGCCTGGTTCTGCCTCATCTTTACAATTGTTCTCATGTTTTGAAGTCTTCCTCATTCAGTGTCCAACTTTCTTTCTTTCATTTTTAAATCATTTTATTAGGGGCTCATACAACTCATCACAATCCATACATTCATCAATTGTGTAAAGCACGTTTGTACATTCGTTGCCGTCATCATTCTCAAAACATTTGCTCTCCACTTAAGCCCCTGGCATCAGCTCTGAGACATTTCAATGATGGTGCTGGTGAAGAATAAAGTACCACGGGCTGCCAAAAGAAGCAACAAATCTGTCTTGGAAGAGAAACAGCCAGAAGGCTCCCCAGAAAACACAAGAATGGGGACACTCAGTCTCAAGTACTTTGGGCATGTTCTCAAGAGAGACTAGTCCCTGGAGAAAGACATCAAGCTTGGTAAAGGGTAGAGGCAGCAAGAAAGAGGCAGACCCTTGACAAGGTGGATTGATACAGAGGCTGCAACAATAAGCTCAAACCTAACAATAAAATTGTTGACACAGGAAAAAAAAACCAATTGTTCTCATGTTTGAGCCGATTGATACAGCCACTGTGTCGATCCAGCTTCTTGAGGGCCTTCCTCTTTTTCTTTTTTTTTTTTTTAACATTTTATTAGGGGCTCATACAACTGTTA